TTTTCATCGCACCTCCATCGGGGGCTTTTTTTCTCGCTAATTCATGTTTAATTATGTTCCAGCGCAAGGCAAACCGGGTGAGCATTGCGCGTCAACAAATTCCCGTGTTGTTAATTATGCTTATTCAAAAGATGAAATCTGCAAAAATCCCATTTCCGCACACGCGGCCGGTGACGCGCGAGCAACTATCGGAGGTTTTAACGTAATTGCGTTGATAGCAATATGAAAGCTTATCATGATGTTTTGCAGATTAGGCAAAACTAATTAATTAGCGAGCAGTCACACAGAGAAAATTATGCAAATTTAGTGATGAATAGGCTAGCTAGAAAAATCACGTGCAGCAAGCTCGTGCACTTAAATGCAGTAATTTGCCCGGTTTTCAATCAAATGGTGAGTGTGTTATGGCAAGTGACCTTTCAATCTTACAGTAGGATTACTTTTAGGAAGTACGTCATTTAATTTAAAGAATCTATTGGTCTGTCTGTCTGTCTGTCTGTCTGAGTGTCTGTCTGCTGAGGGTCTGTTTGTGTGTCTATCTATCTATCTCTCTCCCTCTCTCACTTAATCGCTCTCCGGGCGTCGCCAGAGATCTCATCCACTTTCCGTGTCGATATTGCGAAGAAAATCGAGCTTGAAATTCTCGGCGGCTACGGCTGCGATGCTGGCGACGACGTGCCGTGCTGTTCTCACAGGCGGGCTGAGGAGTCACAGGTGTCGACTGCTGCGACGCCTTCGGCTATGCTGCCGGCCTCGAGTGTGCGTGTGTGCGTGTGCGCGCGCGAGAGAGAGAGAGCGAGGCGTGACCCTGCGCGCACAGACAGACTTGACTGCGTCCTTTAACTGCTGCGGCCCATCCGCTACAGTGCTCGCACACACCGTCCCCTCGCGTATCACCTTCTTCTTCCTTCTTGTCCTTCTCCTCCTCCTTCTTGTCCTTCTCCTCCTTTTCCGTCTTCTCCTCCTTCTTTTCCTCCTTTTTTCGCGCGCTCCTTATCTTCTTACTTATCTTCTTCTTCTCGTCTTTATACACGTTCTCCTCTTCTTCCGTCTACTCCTCTCCTGTTACATCTTCCTTCTTTTCACTCATATGCGGTTTCCTACGTGTTTCTAGCTGGTGAACCCACCTGGCACACTTGTCGGTCGCGACGCTTGCACATAAACAGTAAACTGCAAGATGAAGATGAGAAGGCTTGCTTCGTGCTCGTATCTCTGCTCTCGCTGCGAGCGAACTAAGCGAAGGCGTGTAGATTGCCCCCGAGGCACACATGGAAGGACTGCTGTGTCCAAATACGTGTATCTTGCCTCTCCTGCCTATATGGCCCCCAGTAATCGCCCCCACCACCCCCTAGCCGCCCCCCGTAAATGTCTATTATCTACTCCTGATAGTATCTATAATATCAATAGGTATAGATATTATATAATAAAACTATATATTTTGATGCATCAAATAAGGCATATACGAAATCAATATCAGCAGAACTGAATTGATCATCTTAAAAGTATCTTCTTGTGTATATCTAATCCCCGTTCGGCGCGTGACGTGATCGCCATAGCAACGGTGACGCCGGCATTGCTACGTGGCGGTAGTGTGCGTCGTAGTCACCACTCCACACACACCTACCACACGACGCTCTAACACAGTAACACGTTCCGTAATGAGAACGTCTCGTCCGTTCCACAGCGATTGCTTGCCCTCGCGCGATCTCGCGCCGCTAGCGTGACGGGGCATATAGACACTTGTTATTGCTGCCGGCGTCTGCGTTTACATGAGATTAGCATGCTATGTTGGTCGGCGAGGGCCCGCGTGTAAAATGCGTGCCCTGCTGGCGCTGTGCGAGAAGCGCCGGGCGGGATGGTAACGCACGTCTGTGCGTTAGACGTACGTTAGCTCGGCAGGCAGCTAAAACAGTCGGTGCATGCGTACGTGCACGCTCCGGTAAGCAGTAGCGCCTCGGCAAACTCGGCAAAACGTCACTGCGCAAACAAGCGACAAAGAGAAGCTATATGTATTAGCGACTTACGGAATTTCACAGAAGCGTCGCTTTTCGCGGCCCGCACAAAAGCTGGGCGACTCCTTATAAGTAAATACAGTCGGTCGAGAGAGGCGAGAGGAGAAGCTGCGAAGTCCTGACCTACCTAGGTACAGATCGTATAACCTACGGCTCTATGTCTGCTATCCTTCACCGTCATGTTTATCTCCTCAAATAATTATAATATATAACTTTATTATGTTGTGCAAAAATACAATTGTATTTATGTGTGTATATATATAATCATATAAATACCATCATATTTTAGCACAATATAATAAAAAAAAATTCTTTATTAAATACAAATGTGTTTCAATTACATTAATAAATAGAAATTGAGAGTCTTTCTCTCTCTCTCTCTTTCTCTCTTTATATATGTATACACACACACTCACACGCACGCGCGAGCGCGCGCACACACACACACACACACACACACACACACACACGCGCACACA